TGGAACTCCATGAGGTTGGCATCTTGTTTGTACAATTTGCATTACAAGTTACTGTCCAATCAATTAGCTCCTATAATTAAGTGACAACCTAGCTGCTTACCTGATATAGCAACCTTTGCTCTGCACGCCACTCGGTCTTTTGTCCCATTTTCTGAAGATCTGCCAAGAAGCAAAGAAAAACGAGGTTTGAGATGAGTGCATTTAGACTTCTAAGACTCAGCCCTTTAAACATTAAAAAGTGTCAGGGTTTTCATATTATAGCTCATTTCAGTTGCTTTTCTTTAAAAGTTAAATTTGGTATTTCTGGTTTAAGATGAGAGTCATTAGATTCCTGAGGATAATCTGGAAGGAAGGTACAGCATCAATTTTCTTAATTCCCTAGAAGATTTTACTCCAAAGCTTATTTAACCTGGGTATTAAAAGAGAAGTAGATTCATCTTCCTTGTCTTTTTTCAGCTCCAATAGAATCAAATACGTTCTCAGTTTTTCCCCATCTGTACACATCAACAAATAAGAAACTTAATTTATCGGTTCTTAATTTATTGGTTAAAGAATCACCGCCTCCCACATTAATTGAGATCAATTACAAAATGTTGCATTGTTAATATTGTGATGTTACAGGCAGGCAGACAGTTTGCTAAGTAGCAGTAGCCAGATCTCAAGGTCAACCTTCAATTGAATCAAAACAATCTGCAGATAATGAGTAACAATGGCGTGCTCTCCTTCTATCTGCCACTGCCCTAACTCCTAATCAAATAAGGCGAAACAAAAATTCCTAACTGCTCCTAATATTCTGACTTCCAGGGAGAGTTATACTATCTTCAGAACTCACAGATTACAGACCCACGTAACAAAAACGGGGGCAAAATTCTCTTGAAAACCCTAGAATTTTCTCTCTCAGCCATCATCATCTTATCTGGATTAATCTTTAACCAAATTCCAGTCTTGAGCAACTGCTGGTTTTAGCCAGGAAAGACTAAATGTTCTTCACAGAAAATACAAAGCAGAAGAAAGAACTGCAGATGTGCTACCAACTATCAAAGATATGATCAAAATGGCAGAGAAATAACTCTTCTAATGACCTCCACTGGCAATTCCAAGGACCCCTCAGGACAGAACTCTAAGCAATGCGTGGCAGACACACCAAGTAAACAATACAGCTGACTGTGACTGTAAGAAAACAATACAGCTGTTGGGATTTATCTCCAAGTATCTCTGCCCTGTTCTGGGCATATGCCATCACCATTCTGTGGTCACTGGCACCAAAGCCCAGGAGTTGAGTAAATGAGTGTATACACATATTTGACATTATTCCACTGTTAAAAACATAAATAGAAAAGGAATCACTGTAATCTTCATCTTAGTAGGAAGAAGCAATACAACTGCAGTAATTAAAGAATAGCACAAGTTATAAGTGCTAGTTTTCAAAAATCAGCTTTCACTGATACAGTCAGAAAATGCAGTTCTTTCCTTCAATAAAATTTCTCCTAGAAGACCACTTTTCTGGAAGCAAAAAGTAGCGAGACTATTCCTATAGATACGATTAACTGGAGCTAAGCATGTACACAGAGAGGTTCTATGCTAAATTGCAATACACTGTTGCATTAAAGTAATAACCTGAGGGCAATAGTGTCTGCACCACGAATCTCAACTTCGCACCCAAAATATATTCAAAATATTATAATGTTATTCACATAAACCACATATACTTTAGCTCATTCAAGAGTTATAACGTGCAAATATTATCAACAAAACTGATTTTTTACTTCATATTTATTATTACTTCGCTGTAGTTAACAGAAGTGGCCAGCAGAGGGTACCAATTAACCACGATGAATCCATCATTAAAGGGCCCTTAACAACAATGGAAAGCAGGAAAGGCAGAAATAAGTGTATTCTGACTTGGATAGTCTGGGGTTTGTCCCTCCAGACTTGGTCAGGTACTTTCTGCATGCTAAAGGTAATCAAGAATGGTAATCTCCATTATGTTACCTGATATTCAGACGCTGAATTATAGTTTCATGTCCATAATAAAGTCTACCCAGGAAAATATGACTTGCATTTAATTTTCTAAGGTAAAAAGACAACACTGGAATGGTCTTACAATGTTTTAAGGCAGCAGTAATGTCTGTCTGTAAGAGGGAAGACAGGAGGAAGGGTTTAAATCCACTTTCCTCAGCCGGCTGCTACGAATCCCCCTGTGCAGAAGCCTTCCTCATAATGCTCCATTCGACTCTGAGCTGCTGCTCACCGTTCGCCGGCTCCGCACGAGGCCAGCTCTTCCTTTCGGTTCTGCAGCTCTGCCCTGTACGCGAGTACACGAGCGTTGCAAACCATCAGGTTCTTCACCGCTTGCACCAGCTGCTCCTTCTGCGTGCTCACGGCCAGGAGCTTACAGATCCCTTCTCGCATGCGGATCTCAAAGTCGATCTTCTCCTGGATGTCGCGTTCCTACATATGAAAAAAAAACCAAACCACAAACAAAAACCCAACTAATAATATCCTGAATGTTTAACAAGCTCTACCAATTTCACAGTTGGAATAGAAAACCCTAGGTTTTAATTATACGCAGCCGTTGAGCTGGTTATTACACATAAAATGATGTTTCTCTCTTCAGGAATGGGAGTAAAACAACGGATGTAACAGATTCACTGCACCCATTACAGGTGCAAATTCCAAACCAGGTAGTGACATTAACTCACCCCAGCACCTGAAACTTACTGAAAATGTACGTGCCTCAATGTGTCATTCACAGGGTAATAACGTATGGTCCCCTCATAGGGTCACTGAGAGTCCTAACTAAACAAAGCTTAAAAATCAATTTTTTACACCCATCCCTACTAAAATAAACCCTAGACTCACGAAAACACCTGAAATACTTTAAATCAGAAATCCATTTGACCACCTTAAAATGGTTAAAAACATGTGTTTTTTTCACTTCTGGTTGCTGTAAAATTCAGGCAACACCAGAAGCACAGAAAGGAGACTATCCCAATCCTTGGCTGTCTCAGGCTGTGAACTGACAGTCAGACAGCTGTGGTAGCTCCAACAGGACACATGGACCGTGCCTGATGGCACAGTCACGCACTCTTCCTTCAAAAGTATGACATAAGACAGACTTGCCTGTCAAGCCATGGGAGTTCTGCATCGCTTTTTTTTGGGGGGGGGAGAGTGGGGCTTTTTTTCAGGTATTATAAAAACTCCTGAGAAGTCAACCTTTTCCTACCTACTTTCAGAGAAGACAAGCATTATTCCTCACTAGCCACTTCAAAGAGGTCAATCCACACCAAGCCAGAGGTGATGAAGGTGAAGGATGGCAGTTTGCTGTCTCCCAGAGCTGAACCAGATGCCACCAATGACTCTGATACACATTTCCTTGCCACGTAGCATTCCCTGGACAAGCCAAACGCTTCTGACACAGAAGTAGGTTCCCAGCCACCTCAGCACACTGGTATAAAACCCCAGAGGTTATCACATCCCTTCAGTGACACGAGCATCTCTATTTCCCACCTTTTCTGTTATAGACAGCCACTTCACTCTTGCTAAAACAGGACCTAGACCCGTACAGACTCTGTCCACATCACGAGCCAGCAAGGTGCTAAGCCCCCGTACCAAATACGGTTTCTCATTTTCCTCAGGTAACAAAGGAGGTGGGTTCCCCCCACCCACAATAAAGACCCCAGGCTTGTGAAATCAGGCAAAAAAGGACAAATACGTGTTCTACTGAATTTGCCAGCAGTTAAGACAATTTAGTCACCCAGCGCAAACACAGATGATGATTACACACTGCCGTGAAGGAGAACACTAATAAAGCACAGAGGACTCTCCAGGAACTAAGAACTCTCAATCTGAGACCCCGTGGGAAATGTTTGGAACGTGCACAGGCTGCCATGACACAGACTCTCTGGCACCAGTGGGTTTTTCCGTGCTGAGCAACTCCCAAAACTCACATCCGAGGAGTTCCATAGTTCTGCTGGTATCCCCTACAGACCCAATACGGCATCACCAACTATCCCAGCTTCCCCCCTGCATGGATTTGCTTTTCAAAGTTTCAACCACAGCCAGTGCAGGATAAAGCAGTGCACCAGCACCTCTGCATCCCCAGCACCTGCTCCTCTGTCCATGTTTTTTCTCAGCGCTCATCCCAGAAGCAGCAAATAGCTTTCATCAATCTTCTTTTATTCCAAGTCAAATCTTACACAGCTATGAAAAGCTAAGCGAGGCTCATACCTGTCCCTAAGGAATAATTGCTCATTCTTTGAGCCTAAACTAATACATCAGCTGTTACAAAGATGAATTTCATCTAGCGCTTCCCCCGAAACATTGTGCAGGGTAACAGGGCTCTGCACTGACCCCGCACAGACCACAGCTCCTCTCCAGGCCTATCACCTGGTATATAACTATGGCGAGGAAATAAACTGTCCTAGTTCGAGGCATCTGCATGTATCAGCATTGGGATTTTCAGAACTACACAAAGGGTTTAGTTCATCCTACATATCAGCCAGGCTCACATAAATTGTTCCAGACTACCACTAAATGGTTGTTAGGCTGTAGCTTAAATAATTGCACCATATAAATCTAATCTGAAGAAATAACTTTCCAGCCTGATTTGGAATGTCTGATGTGCTTCACATCTACCAAAACAAATGGTCAGCACGTTGTGGTGTTCGGTTTTTTTTTCTCCTCCAGTTCCTTCTAAATATAGGAGCCCACCATGTGGACTCGGAGGAATGACACAGCACTGTTTTGCCATATGCCATCTACTCGTGCACCATATCCCCTGTGGTCCCCATCCTTCCCTCACCAGCATAACCCAGCTGAGATCACCAACAGCTGCTGGGATTTTCAGCCCCATGCTCAGGATCTGCCTAAGAAATACTTACAGAAAGAGTCCTTGTGTTCCCCACCTAAATATATCTAGAGTACATGACATTTTAAGGGATTTCCAGTTTTACATAGGTGATGGAGTCACAAAACAAACAAATAAATAAAAACAACAGCTAAGAAAAATTATGTGGATACTGCTGAAATAGGACAGATTGAAATTTTATTCAATTGATAATTACACCTAATTTAAGCTTACACCTAAATCCCACATGTCTACTGCATTTATTTAAAACAAGCAAGTAGTCAGGCAGTGAGCATCCCTCTAAAACAGAGGCTGCGAAACCAAGACACGGGCTGGGGGACTTCTCCAGCGAGGCACAGCAACGAGCACTTGTTGCAAGAGCTGTATAAACACACTTGGGTTCAACGAGCTCAGAAACCTGATTAATAAGAAAACCAACGGCTGAAAGACGGAGGAGCTGCAGAGGCTCAGCCTCACGCCCGGGTCCCTGCACAGGGCGAGCAGGGGGCTCAGCCCACCGGAGCGGCCTCACCTTTGTCCGGGCAGCTCACC